TAAAATTTACACTTAATCTATTAATAAAGTTTATTGGAGCAAGACTCCGTTGGATATAAAAAAAAAAAAAAAAAAAATTCAAATCTCCTTATTATCTAATACTAGTACTGGCTCACAGAAACAATAATTCATGTACTCTTTGATCACACTCAAAATCTCCTTTCAGCTTCTATTAAATTAACAATCAAAATTAACTATCATTATTTAGCACCTCTGTAACCTTACTAAATTTTAGCCTCACAGAATTCAAGTTTAATTGCATACTATGTTTAAGAAGAAGTGGAAAAATCTTTCTTTGCACATTTTGTGGTTATACAATTGCTTTGAAGAGTGTTGACTCATCAAAAATCAAATCATGTGTCTTAAAAAAAATGCAAAAAGAAGTTGTGATTTATAAAGAACTTGCTAATATTCAAGCAAGTATATTCCAAAGTTGACTTGTTATGAATATTACAGAGGAGGCATAAGCTACATTATAAACATGACCATTGCTGATACTTTATTGAGTAAAAATATAATAATGATATGGAAAAGGACAAATGCTATTAAAGGACTAGAAGCAATTTATAAGCATAACATCCTCCACAATGATATTTGGAAGAAAAAAACCTTAATTAATGTTTATGATGATGTGTATCTAATTGACTTTGGAATGGCAAGTTAGGAGAACACAAAAAAAAAGAGGAAACTTTTAAGGAGGAATGGCTTAAATATTCTAACTTGTTAGAGAAATATCAGGTGGTTAGTTAGACTGTAGAATTATACATAAATTAGCATAGAAGCTTCGTCATTTATTATTGGCAAAATCCTGAACTTGAATTTTTTTTTGTATGTACCAAAGACACTACAAACTTGTATTGATTTTTAATTACTGGCTTCATATAAAACCTGAAATTTAATAATAAAATTTCCATTACTTTATTTTTAACAAAAAAAATTATAATGTTAAAATCAGCTTATATAAATAGAATCATAGAATAGGAACAAAGAGGAAGGAATAAACATATTATCTATGCCTGTCAGATCTTAAGCCCTTTACAATGTAAAGAATTGAAAGTTCCCTTCCCTACTCACAATAGCTTCTCATATTAAATCGAGTTGTAATATATCAATAATAATGTACTTATATTGATTAACTTTAGATTTACTTTATATTTAAAAACTTATATTTTATGTATTATAAATCAATGGTATTAGTTTATTCTAAGCAAGGTAATAAATTTTCAGCAATCACAATATTCATAAAATTTCACTTTGTATATTAGTGAGTAATAATATTGATTCTTTTTTTTATTTTGTACTAAATTGAAATAATTTATTGCTAGTAATCACAAGCCTATAAAATCCTCTGTACGTATTATAAACAATATAATTTTTCTGATATATTTAAAGAATATTGGTGATCTGTTTAATATTAATTCACCCCATAACAATTTAAGCAAATATATCATGAGTAATTATCATATGATCTATGTGGAAAAAAAATAGATGATCTAGATTGTAGCCACAAATAGTAAAAAAAAGTAACTGGTTCATATGTCTATTGTCTCCGATCCATAGGTTCACCATATGAATAATAGTTCAGATATGAATTGCGAGAAGTTCTGGAGTGTTAAATTAAAGATAAGTTATTCTGATAACCATAAAAGAACTTTATACTATACTTGTACGTAAAATTATTTTGGGGTCCCGAAATTGCAATTTTGGAGAAAAAAGTTGAAATAGTTTTTCATAGAAAACAAAATTATTTTACTTAAAATCCAAAATTTTTCAACTACACATATACCTGCCACCCAAATTCAAAATCCAAATGCCAAAATCCCAAATGCCGAAATCCCAAATCCCAAATCCCAAATTATGATTAGTATTTTTTGCCGAAATCCCAAATCCCAAATCCCAAATACTAGTAATTTGGGATTTTGGCGTCCCAAATCCCAAATGATTTGGGATTTGGGCAACACGTATAACTACACAGATTTATTCTTTGATTAAAGATACATAAAACTAGATACTTTTTTTACCTCCATATATAGATAGATTTTGCATAAATCTCAAAAAGTTGAAATATCTCAAAAATTCAAAATCAATTTTGAGAACATGTATAGTTTATACTATGATTATTGCTTATGGTACGACTTATCTGAAAAGACTACTGACTACCCTGTAGACTGTTTATGTAAAGAGATTAAACTTGAATTCTTTATTTCTATTTTAATTGTACAGATATTTTTTATCCAATTATCCCAAAATACCTTAATATAGAAAAAGATGAGCAACTGAATAATTCAAAAATTTTTAGATCGTAGATAAAACTTGAACTAGTTCTGCCAAAACTATTTAGCAGATTATCATTCCATGGCTTTACCAACCTGTTAGGCCAATCATAATAAAATAATATGAACTATAAATTAAATGAGTGAATTTATTTATTATAGTCACATCAGAAAATTTTATTAGATGAAAATTTGTGATTTTTTCTATTTTTATTTAATTCTTCTTGTTCTTTTGATTCTTCTAATTCTCTTAATTCTTTTCTTCATCTTATTCATTATCTTCTTTCAGTTCATTATCTTCTAGTTCACCTTTGTCACATTCATTATCTTCTAGTTTATTTTCATCCCATTCATTTCTAAATAATATTCCATCATTATTATTGTTTCATTTTAAAATAAAATTCTTTCCTCTGCAAGTTCTTGTAGAAATTGTTCAATATTATTATTATGAGTTTTATATTATTTCTAATTAATGTGCCATGAGAAATCTCTGGACATTGAAATTGCATTATGGCATATTTTTTAAAAAATATATTTAATTAATAAAAATAAAATTATATCTATTAATATAATATTAAAAAATAAAATAAAATATATTATATTGTTATAATAATAACAAATTTTATGTAGAATAAAAATATTAATCTAATATAGAAGATTTTCAAATAGAATATTTAAATAAAAGAATTTGTAAAAAAAATAGGGACTTTTTTTTATGAATCTCAATGTTTTTTTAAAATTTTAAAATGTAATATGATTCGAACTATAATTTTTATTAAATGTTTTACAATAAATCATAATATTCTGATTGCTTTCCATATGATCAGTATTGCAGCTGATATGCTTGATTATTGAGTTTATTTTTTAATATTCAGGGTTGTGGTACACCATTTTACTCAAAATCTTAGTACAGTTCAGCTTCATACAGCCAATCAATAATATCAAAAGATTCTTTAAAATTTTATTAATAAAAACCTGCTAATCTTTCATTTTAGAATCAATTATTGGCATTATTATGATTACTTTCATATTTCAACATGTTATTCAATATAATAATATTTATAATTTTACATACATGATGAATAAAATATTTAAAGAATAAATTTATTATTGAAACTATTTGTAAAACATCAAATTTTAATAATTTTAAATTATTGCATCTTTAATTCTCTCTACTATTGTTTAATTTTTCATATTAAAGATAATCATCTAAATTTGTTTTTTCATCTTAATGTTAATTATCTAAATTGTAGGATTATATAATTTATTATAATTAATAGTAGCTATCCCATTCATTACATGAGTAATAATAGTGAATTTGCTTTGTAAGAATTACCTGTATGATTTTATTAATTATAAATTAAAATTTTTTTCTTTGTTCTCAATGTTACAAGTTGAAAACATCCATTATATGATTTATTCAATTAATTCAATTAAAGAAAATGAATTTTTATTTAATGATTAAAGCATTTATATAAAAGGTATGAGGATAGTGCCCAATATATTGTTAGAGATAGTTAGTTTTGTTGTTTGAAATATGGACGATTGTAGTTTTGATAATAGTGTTGTTGAAAAAGAGTTTTTCACTTTTTGGACTGTTTTATTACTTTGATTATTTTTTGTACTCATTTTTGCTGTTGAAAGATTATTGATTGTTTGTTGAAAGATTATTTGATTGATTTTTTTATGAATGCTGTTGTTGTTAGATCATCTATTGGAGGTGTGGATGATTCTTTTTAGTTTTTCCTGACCACATCTTAGTTGTTAAGTTTTATTGTTCGTGTATATATTTTAATAATGAAATAGTTTGTTTTTTTTGAGAAATTTAATTATTTGAAAAATTTAATTATTTTATTTAATTTTTTTAACAATATTTATTGCCATAAATAAAATTTCGTTAATAATAATAAAATAATATTTTATTGATTATGATCTTGAGTTTATATACCATAATGATCTAATTCTCTATACGTAATAATGACATAAAAATAAATACAAAATTTTGTAAATATCTTAAATGATGATAGAAAAATATTATATTCAATAAACTTTTCATTCAAACTGGGTCTTGTTTCATTACATATCCTAACAATTACAAATCGACAAGCATTGTTTATTAAATTTTTCAACTTTGTACCACTTTCACTCATAAACTCATATTTTACACATATCCACACAACTCAACTCAACTTATTTTCAAAGAATCACACTCGATTCTACACATTTTACTCAATTCCTTCGTTCAAATTCCTCTGCTTCAATCTCTTGACTCAACCATTTCATAAAACTCCTTATAACTTTATATAACTTTATTAAATTTCATTTTAATTTATAACTTTATTAATTTCATAAAACTATTTATACAACTTAATACAACTTCATACTACCATATTCACCCATCATCAACAAATCTCATCTTCTTCTCAAGTCAAAGCAAACGACTTCACTGTCTTTTGGATCTGAAAATACCATATCCTCTAACAGCACCTCCTATAATATTATAAGATAATTAGTATGTTTTTAATCATTATTTTTATTAATGATTATAAAAAAATCTTATATAACTTACATTATTTTGTAATTTTGTTAAAAAGAAGATTCGATATTCTATGTAGGACAACTTCATGATCTCATTATAGTCACGATTGTTGAACCCAAAAAAATTATCGTGCACTTCAATTTCTTCTCCAATAACTTCTTCCTCATGAACAACTTCCTTCTTCTTTAAACAAGATTTTAATTTTTTTTCACCACCTTCGCTCTTCTTCTCTTTTATTTTCTTTTCCTTTATAACCATCAAATTTTTTGAAAACTTCCACTTTTTTTCTTTCTTCACTTTCTTTGAAAACGTCAAAATCTTTCTTTTCTTTTCCTTCCTTTCCATCTTTACTTTCTTTACTTTCTTTTCATCCTTCATATTCTTCGCCTCCTTAACAAAATTATTGATTACAAAATCATAAATAAGGAAATAAGCATTTATAATTATATAATTATATTCCAATAATTTGTACAAACGATAAATTATTACCTTAACTTTATCTTCCCGATCCTCAAAAGCTTCATTTACTTTCAACTTCCTTTCTTTCTTCAACACCTTCTTTCTTGGCTTCTTCTCCTTCGTTTCCTTAACAAAAAAAAGTCAAAATGATTAATTGCAACATCTTTGATGATTAAAATAAGCATAATTATTATATAATCATGTAACAAATATTTGACAAATGATAAATTATTACCTTAACTTCATCTTCCCTATGCCTAAAAACTTCTTTTGATTTCGTCTTCCTTTCTTTCTTTAACACTTTCTTTAACACCTTCTTCCCCTTCATCTCCTTAATAAAGAAAAGTAATAATTATTAATTACAACATCACAAATAATGAAAACAAGCATAATAATTATATATTTATATCCAAAGATTCGAAAAAATGATAAATCATTACCTTAACTTCATCTTCCCAATCCTCAAATACTTCTTTTGATTTCAACTTCCTTTCTTTCTTCAACACCTTCTTTGTTGCCTTCTGTTCCTTTATTTCCTTAACAAAAAAAGTCGTAAATGATGAAAATAAGTATAATGACTATATAATTATATTCCAAAGATTCATCCAAATAATAAATTATTACTTTAATTTCATCTTCACTATCCTCAAAAACTTCTTTTGCTTTCAACTTCCTTTCTTTCTTCAACAACTCCTTTCGCGCCTTTTTCTCCTTCATCTCCTTAATAACGCGAACAGGATTAATTTTCTTGATTAAATTCTTTGCAATATTCATGTTTTTATTTATCTTTCAAAACTTTTTTAAAAATTTGAAAACTTGGTGAGAAAAATATTGGTCTGAGAATTAATGTAATTATGACATCAGACTTATTACATCCATCTGATGAATGATCAGCTAGTCATCTATGAAACTCATCTGCACAACGTTCCACCATGTTCGTGCTACAATTCTTGATTTTAGGTTATCACATGATTTTTGATAAACACTCACTGGTAAAAAGAGTAGAGACAAGACACCTTGCAATTTCTAGATGCAAATCATTTTGGTTGCTCCATACAACCAATTTTTATTATTAATTAAGTCTTTTTTCATGTATTAAGTAACCTGATAGCTAAGATTAGATTGTAGGCGGAATTAAAGATAAGTATTTCAATTTTGATTATTTTGATTAATTGTTTAAATTAAATCAGTTATCATTTGCTCAATTCTTAAGGAAAAAGTCTGAAAAATTTGCATATTATGTATTATATTCTCTAAATTGGGATTACTTAATATGATTTTTAATAATTCATAAGTGAAAAAAATACTTTTATATGTTATAATGATTGATAATTATACTAAAACTATTTAAGAATAATTGTTTGCAACATATAAAAGTTGTTTTTTTTTGATTATTAACCATTAAAACGATAATAATTAACCTTAAACTAGAGAATGTTGTACATATTCTTCAAAATTTGAAGACCTAAATATTACTTAAAAATTAAGCAAAGGTAGCTGGATTTAATTTAAAAATTTAATATTTCTTTAATTCTTAAGGAATAAGTTTGCAAATTTTACAAGAATGCATTACATTGTCTAGTTTTAGGTTACTTAATTTCATTTTTAAGTTAAAAAAATAGTTTTATATGTTGCAACAATCGAAGATTATGTTAAGTTCTATTTAAAAATAATTTTTTACATTTTTTTTTAAAAACAATAATTAACATTAATTGTCAAAAGTTGCAACATATAAAAGTATTTTTACTTATGACCACTAAAAAGACATTATGAAACCTTAAACAGAATGTAATGCATAATCTGTAAAATTTGCACTCCTTTTCCTTAAGAATTGAGTAAATAATAGCTGATCTAATTTAAAAGTTCAATTTGTCAATTATTTCTTCAATTATTAAGGAATAGGTTGGATCATAAAATTTTATAGGTGATGCACCACATTCTCTAGTTTATAGTTACTGAATATTTTTTTTGATATTTTATTAATTTAAAAGCTACTTATATATGCTGAATCCATTAAAATTTATTGTTAAATTATTTTTTATTTTAATGAATTTCAATTATTTCAATTCATACTGAAGTAAAGTTTAAAAATTGACTAGAAGCCATGAAAATCAATAATAATTAACTTTGCAGTATTATATTTTGCTACATTGCTCCATAATATAGTTGTCATTTATATCCATTGAATCCAATTAAAGATTATATCAATCAATAAAAATTTTAAAAGTTCATATCAAAGGGTAATGCTTATAATTCTATCAATTTTAATACAAAAATGATAATTCTTTTATATAACATACAATTTAATCTTAGCTACAGGTTACTTAATATATAAAATATGACTTATTTAATAAGAAAAACTGGGTTGTGGTAATCAAAATGTCTTGTTTTTAAAAATTGCTAATGTAATATTGATTTTGATTAAGATATTCTGTTATGAAAATCTTTGAATTACAAGAAGATTATTTTTATTTTTATTCATGAATGGGAAATGGAATTAGATGTGAAAAATAATACAAATTAATTATATCATAGATTTAGTTTACAAAATTATATTCATCATTATTGAATTTTAAAGAATTAATGCATTATTGCTATTATTATTTTTAGCTCTCTTTTTGCAACACAACAACAGGATAAACTAACTTTCTCTATTATTGATGTTTCATAAACACAAATTAAAATCATTTTTATTTGATCACTAATCTAGGAGTGAATCATATTTTATGGTTTCCAGTTGAATCATATTTTTTTTTATTTAACATGAAGAAATTCCTAAAAATTATTTTTTTTATTAATTTTTTTTTTAAATAGAATAGAGCGTATAAGATACTTCAAGAAATAATTATATTGTAAGGCATTTATGCTATACCAATAATTATCATTACTGCTATCTATATATTTTAATTAATAAATATAAAATTTGCTCCAATTCATGATCAGCTAAAATAATTTCTATAATTAAAATAAAATTTGTGTCCTAAAATTAATTAATTACTATTATATATTCAATAAATTATCCAGTAAAAATAATTGATAAGTATTGGTTTAAAGGGTTTGTTCATTATAATTTGTCATTTTTAGAGATTAATAATAACTTTACAACTTTACTTGCTTTATTTTACAACTTTTTGATTGTGAAAATATTTAAAAGGAATTTGCTTTAGAAATTATTATCATTGGAATGCATGATCTGGAGCAGTATTTGTTATTGCGTAATTACGTTTTGTTATTATAATAATATCAAAATGTAATTTTATTGTCATGTGTTCTTTATCTACAATATTCATCGCCCTTTTCCAAAATTACATTTTTGATATTTATATTTAATATATCAAAAACGTAATATTTAAATATTGAAAACGTAATTTGTCTGTTCGATTTTTTAGATAACGATTGTTGAATGAAGAAACATGCCAAAAAAATTACGTTTTTGATATTTTTATATTTAAAATATCAATTACATAATTCTTCTCCGGACTTACAATGGTCCCATTTTCCTAGAATATATATGTAATTAGGAACTGATTGTCCGTAATGTCCGTGCATAGCGAAGGACATCTTAATGAACGCGTAGTGTGGAAACAAATTTACGTTTTTGATATTTTAAAGATAAAACATCAAACACGAAACTTTGGAATCGGACGTCTGACCGATTTTTTAGTTAACGATTATTGTAGATAAAGAACCAATATTACACAATTATTGATAGGACTAATGGTTCCTATTTTCCTAGTATATTGTGACATGTGATCTTTATCTAATGATCATTATTCAAAAAAATCGAACAGACATCATTTCGTTATTGATATTTTGCCTATTGGCACATCAAAAATGTGACTTTGGCATTCCTCCGCTATGCTCCGGACAATAATTCATTCATTTATTTATTTGAAAATATAGCATGAATAAAAAGATAAATTTATGTTTTGAATAATAAGAACTTGTTTCATACCATGTTAAATTAATGTAGAATAAATTCCTGTATTGTTTTTTATTAATACATATATAATAAATAATAATAAACAATTTTATGTATCGTCAAATAAATTTTCAAATAATATTAAATTAATATGATAATATTTCATTGGTATTCATTATTGTATTCTAAAAATTCTAAATAATGAGATAACAATTCAATTAGTGAAAATATAATGATTTGATCGAACTTTAATTGTAATCAAATAAACATGATCTTTAAATAAAATTAACAATGTTAGTAATCATAATTATGCATAATAACGAAATAATGATTAATGATTGTTAATATGAAATCATGAAATAAATAGACAATTAAACTTAATCTAATATATTTATTTTTTATTGTAATAATTGTATACATGTGCAAATTAAGAAAGCTGAAATAAAATAAAAAAAAAAAATAAAAATGAAACAAATCTGAATCATCACCAACACCAGTATAAAACAACTACACGCCAAATCTACAACTAGCTTCGAGATTTTTATAACTAGACTTAAAAAATCTAAATTCTTTTAAAAAGCAATTATCTCAGAATGACATCTCCGAAGTTACTTCAGGAAGAGGGGGAGATTGATTTTGAGCTGGAGGTATTGCGACCATTATCGCTCTATATAATTTATCTGCTGTCTTGGAATCCGATACCTAAAGAAATACAATATATATAAAAATATATTAAAATATAATAAAAAGTATAATAAAAATATAATAACGAATAACAAATTGCAAACCTTTACAGCAAGATGAACGAGTATACCTCCTTCGAATACACCTAATCTTATGAATTTTTCCTGTGATCTTTCAACGTGCATTCCAGGAAATAATGCAACGTTTAAGATCACTCTTAAGACATTATCTGCCCGCATTACTATAAAGAAATCATAAATTTTTAGTCAAATCTTGATCAATATTAATAATATAATAATAAATTTATACTGAAAGTTTACCTAATCGAGGATTATTTTCATAATTTCTCGGGTAATTGAGTTTTAGGGTCCCAACTCCTCTCTCTTTCCACATCTGCCCAACCATACAATATAGTTTAGCTTTAACTGAATGTCGGGTAATTTCGTTCTCTTCACCAGTTAATACTAAATAAATTAAATATAAAAAAATATTATTGTTAGTATTACTATCATTATTATTATTATTACTATTATTATTGTTTTTTCTGTTTCTACCTGTTTGTTGTTGGAATGAGGTTTCTTCTGCTCCACTTTCCTTATCATTCTCTTCCCCTTCTCGTGTAGGTTTCTCATCAAAAATAGATCTTTGAGAGCCAACAAAGCTTCCCATTAATGAATTTCCAGTGTATTTGGTGCCTGATCCAAATACACCAGAATATCCACTACCAAAAATTCTTGGTTGTGGTTGTGGTTGAGGTTGAGGTTGTAGTTGGAGTTGTGGTTGGAGTTGTGTTTGTTGTTGTGGTTCGGGTTCATGTTGAAATTGTGGTAATGACTGTGGTTGTTGTTGTGGTTCGAGTTGTGATGGTTGGGGTTCAGTTTCGGGCTCGGGTTGAAACTGCAGTAATGACTGTGGTTGTGGTTCGAGTTGTTGTGGTTGTAGTTCGGGTTGTGGTTGTGGTAATGACTGTGATTGTGGTTGTAGTTCGGGTTGTGGTTGTGGTAATGGTTGAGATTGTATTTGGGGTTTTGGTGGAGATTGGATTTTTCGTGGCCTTCCGCGACCACGTTTTTGCTGTGGTGTTGGTTGTTGTAGTTGAGGTTCAGTGTTTTTTCGTGGCCTTCCTCGGCCACGTTTTTGATTTGGTTGTTGTGGTTCATTTTCGGCCTTTCTTTTTCTTAAAGAAGTAGATGAACCTTCAGTTATGGTTGGATTGATATTTCCTTTGCTCCGACCCCTTCGAAGGGCTACAGTAGGTTGAGTATTTGTAATATTTAAATTTGTTGGTGTTTCGCTTGTTATATTAATTTTTCCTTTACTCCTGCCCCTTCGAAGGGTTATTGTAGGTTGAGTATTTTTAGTATCTGCTTTACTTCCATTAGAATCGGAAGTGCCAGAATCATCAATTTGTGAATTTATGTTGGTAGGTATTTCGCTTGTTACATTAATTTTTCCTTTACTCCTGCCCCTTCGAAGGGTTATGGTAGGTTGAGTATTTATAGTATTTAAATTCGTTCCATTAAAGGTATCATTTTTTGTTTTAGAATTGACTTTGGTGTATGTTTCACTTGTATTAATTAATCCTTTGCTCCTGCCTCTTCGAAGGGTAATAGTAGGTTGAGTATCAGAATTAGAAGTGTTGGAATTATTGATTTGTGTTTTGATTTTGGTAGGTGTAAATGTTTCGCTTGTCACATTAATTATTCCTTTGCTTCTGCCCCTTCGAAGAGTTATAATTGGTTGGGTATTTATATTAGAAGGATTGGTTTCGTGTTTTTTATTCATATTTATTAATGTTGGTGAATAAATTTTAGTAAATAGTTTTATTTTTATCGAGAAAATAGCAAAGTTTTTATTGAAGAAAATTTTTTTAGTTTTTTCTAAGAAAATAATTTTTATTGAAGAAAATTTAAAGTGAAATTGGGGTGGGGGATAAGTCCTTTAAATATTTATTTTTTTTATGTTATATAAATAATAAAAAAATAAGAATTGTTGATAACAAATAAAAAAGTGAGTTGTTTACGTGATTACAAAAAGAAGAAAATAAATAAGTGAGTTGTTTACGTGATTACAAAAAGAAGAAAAATAAATGATAAACAAAAAATTATTAAACTATTTATCGACCCCCTTTTTTTTTATCTGCAACTCATATTTTAAGATCTATAAAAGTTTTCCGATTTAAACTAGATAAGTGATTTTAAATAAGAATAATAATAATAATCATAATAATAATTAGGCATCTAATGATTATAATTATTATTATGATTACAATAGTGATTATCTTATTTATTAGTATTGTAATTAAATAAAAAAAGCCTTTCGAATCTTATAGTCAAATAATTATAATCATGTGATTATAATTATTCGAAAAAATGCTTATCTCTTTTGATCAGTTTATTCTGAATAATAATTTTAATAACAAATTAAAAATAGTTAATAATATCAATCAAAATAAATTAGTAACAATTATTTTATCTAAATATGGATTTTGGGCATGGGATTTACTAATAATTATTAATTATTAGTTTAATTATTAATAATTCGTTACTCAAGCTACACTCCTAAATTAGGTACTTTGGCTATTGTATTTTTTTTTTTTGTTTTAAATAGAAAATAGTGACATGTAAAAAAGTATAATAATATAAATATAAATAAACATTTATTATAATTTAATGTAATTACTAATAATTACATCAGTCCTGATGAAAGAATGTATGCCCCTGAAAATAACTATAATTGAAATTTTTTAATTGTGCGACCGGAACTAGAATTTTTTAATGAGATAGTAAGAGTAATTGAAAAAAAGGATATGATTCATGAGTTTTTTACTCATTACAATTTCATCTCTTTTCTTCTCAAAAAAAAATAAAAAAGTTTTGGAAATTAAAATTAACGACAAAATGTCCAAAAGAACATTTTCTCAAATGAATTATGATTCTAAAAATTTGACTCCTTTGAGGAGATCATAAATAGGTGAATAACAATTGTCTTTATTATTGTTATGAAAAAAATCCATATTATTTGCTTATATATATATATATATATATAAAACACCAGTATTGTTTCTTATAAAGATGTGGCAATTCCAAACGATATTTGTTCAACCACCACCACCATCCAAGAAAAGAGGTTGTGTATTAAAGAGAGGGCCTGTGCGGCCTCAAAAGAATGTGGATAACGTGATGCCGCAAGGTAATTTATTTATTTATTGTTATTTCAAAGTAAAAAAAAGGATCATTAAATAAATATTCGTGAATATTCAAAGTTGAGGAGATGAAAGTCCAGAAGACTGTTAAAAAGTATGAGAGTGAAGAAGGAGAAGACGTTATTGTATATAATAATAATAATAATAATCATCATAATTATAAAGATATTAATAATAATGACAATCATAATAACAGCAATAATAATCTTAATAATAATAATCATGATGACGATGAAAACGATGGTGGGAATAATGTTATGAATACATCTGATAATGATATCGATTACAATTTGGATGCTCTCTATTATCCAAATAGTCTCACGAAGTTGGCAAATGTGTCTTTTCATGCCCAGCATTAATGATTTTATTATAATTTAATAAATTAAATGTAAGTTTAATAAATTGAATATAAATATATTTTAATTATAGGTCGATGGCAATGAAGAAGAAGAAGACAATGGAGGGATGAGATTTTTGGATGATTCCAATAATTTAGTGATTTTTGTTTATAAAATAAATTTGTATACAATAATTTTCTTCATTTCTTTTAAATAAAAAAAAACATTATTTCATTTAAAATTTTTGGATTATACAATAATGATTAAATAGATTCTTTAATTAATTTATTAATAATTTTTGATGTGCTTGTAAAATTTTAATAAAAGTTTTAGGTTCATTACATTAATTGGATTATAAATTTTTAATTCAAAATACAAGTTTTCTCCTACGAAACCAACTTAATTGAATACTTTAAGTTTTGATATTCGAAATTGCGAGATTCTGAATTCTATCATACATAACAATTTATAAAAAGAAAAGTTCTAAATTATGAATCCATTTTATTCGATTATTTCATAAAAAACATAATAGAAGGCATTGGTAACATCAACTTTTAATATATTTGTTGATACTCATAGAATGTAGATATTTTATTTAAAATAATTAGAAACTCAATTATCATAATTTCATAATTTATTACATCAACAGTAAAATCATATACAAGAGATAATTCAGTTAAATTATCCTCTTTTGAACATTTTCTATTCTATTTATCTATCTACATTCATTAAGTCCGATAGTAAGTATTGTCACATAATCATATTTATTATTAGTTTCGATGACTGATGAGATATCGATTTTATGTCAGCCATATTTAGAGGATAATTAATTACTGCTATAGGGATAATATAAATGTAATCGTCATTATTTGAGCCTGTTGAGAATTAAAATTTAATATTTATGTAATAAATCTAAGTTAATTTCTTTATTATTTAATTCTTTTTATAACAATCGAAAAAATCATCTGGATTGAAAATTTATACTAATATAAAATAATTATTGTATTTATGAGAGATAATCAAATTGTTAGAAGTGATCTACATCTTTAAAAATATAGTATAATGATTACATCACATCATAAAATGATCATTTACATGAGTGCACAGATTTGAAACCAAATAATTGGTTGAAATACTCTTTTTCCCTTTCTTGAGTTTCTTCATTCCTCTTACGATTTTACGAAAAATAAAGAAAACGAATTTATTCTCTTCATCTTAGATATAACTGTCTTTTTATCCTTAATAACTTTTATTTCTTTTTATTTATTGGGATGCTTTTCTCAATGATAATAATAATAATATTTGTTTATATCCATCAATTATGCCTTTTTTTACGTTTGTTTTTATGCATTTGTTTTATTTTTAGTTAACTTTATCATAATGATTACTTATACGAACTATCATCTTTCTTGTAAATAGATTCAACTACTTTTCATTTTCACAGTGTTTTTGTTAATTTTAGCTATCTTTTTACTATGGTTTCTTTTTCAACTACTTTATAATGTGAGTTCTTACTAACTTTTATTAATATATTCTTGTCTTTTTTTGAATGAAGTATTAGCTCTGGTTGACTTTTCACTTACATTTTTTTCATTATGAATTTTTTCATCTAACTACCTTGATATATCAACTGAGAAGTTGAAATTACTGGATCTGGTAAGCGAAACAAATTTATATTTATTATTTTTGGTTCTCCAATTTAAAGTTTCTTATTACCTTGATTATTAAAAAGTTTCCTTTATATTTTTACATTCAAAAATTTTAGAATATTAATTATTCACAATAATCTGGAGAAAAAAATTTAACGTTTTGGGTAAGGACGCAAAATATGTTTAATGAGAAATTATATTATTGATATCGTAGTGCTACTGTTATTTATTTTAATTTTATGCTATGTATAATCTTGAGTTTCGATTTTATTTATTGTAGAATGTAGAATATATATTTGCCTCAAAACAACTTTTAGTATGGTGCAAGAAAAAAATGGATATTTCTATCACAGATCTGTTGAATTGAGATCAAAAGTAGAAGAAAAATTTCGACCAATTACTTTGCTATCCTCACCCTATTTCAATATGGTTTTTCATTTATTGTAAAATTTAAATTTACAACTTAGAAATGAAGTACAGTATATCTTTATTTTTTATTTTTACTTTCACTTCAGATTTTTTTTTAAAATAAATTTACTTTAATGTCAAAATTGAATAATATTATTTACTTTAATACGAAAATTCTTAAATTTAGTAGTCAATGGTGCATCCGAAAAACTGGAAATTGAAGTTTGGATGCTTCAAAACATTTAAACGAGACAAAATAACTTGACTTGGATAAACAATCAGGGTTAGAGTCAGTGGATTCAGAAAAATTTTATTACCTGCTGTTTTCAATTGAAGAGCCAAAATCTATTAGACTCGATAATAAGGTCAATAGTCAATGAAAAACAAATTGAATTGAAATTTTATTTTTGTTATTTGAGTTTCCAGTTAAATTTTCATTAACACGAAATTGATTTCTCTATTTACAAAACAAATATTCAAGGCTGGATAATCAAAATAGTCAAAGAAGAGACCTCAAAACAATTAAAGTGCTGAATAGATGAATTAGAAATACAAGATTTAGATTTCATATTAATTACATTACTTATTAGCCCCAGTTGACTTTTCATTTGCATTTTTTATTATTTTTTTTTTTCATCTAACTACCTTGAGATATTGTATCAGCTAATAAGTTAAAATTAATGGATCTGGTAAGCAAAGTGAATTTTATATTTATCATTTTTTAGTTCTCCAATTTAAAATTTCTTATTACTTAAAGGTTTTGCATTCAAAATTTTAAAATATAAATAATTCACATAAATCTGGAGATAATTTTAATGTTTTGAGTGAAGATTTCAGGGTGCAGAATATATTTAATGGGAAATTATATTATCAGCGAATTTGTATTAATTTCAATTTTATGATATGAATAATCCTAGGTTTCTATTTTACTTATGCAGAATACAGAATATATATTCGCTTCCAAGATTATGTTAGGTATAGTATAAGAAGACAAAGGATATTTCTATCACAGATCTGTTGAATTGAGATCAATTAAAAATGGAAAAAAAAATTTCAACCAATTACTTCGGTATCCTCTATTCCAATATGGTTTTTCATTTAGAAAATGAAGTATCCTTTTTTTTTATTATTACTCAAATTTTTTTAAAATAAATTTGCTTTTAATGTCATATTAATTACTTTTTT